ATGCTCCTTTAAATCATTCTGCAAGTTATTCCTCCTCACAGTTACATTTATATATAATCCTTTCTCATCATGTCTGGCTCTCTACGTGATTTGTGCCGTTTTAAATGTAACCAGATCAGTCTGCCAGCGTTCACTTCTCCAACAGCTGGGCAGACCCTCCTCTCTCCAACAGCCGGGCAGACCCTCCTCACTCCAACAGCCGGGCAGACCCTCCTCACTCCAACAGCCGGGCAGACCCTCCTCACTCCAACAGCTGGGCAGACCCTCTTCACTCCAACAGCTGGGCAGACCCTCTTCACTCCAACAGCCGGGCAGACCCTCTTCACTCCAACAGCCGGGCAGACCCTCTTCACTCCAACATGAGAGCAGCTCGGCCCCTCGGACACACGGAGCAGCAGGAGGTCCACACGGAGCTGCAGGAGGTCCACACGGAGCAGCAGGAGGTCCACACGGAGCAGCAGGAGGTCCACACGGAGCTGCAGGAGGTCCACTAGGAGCTGCAGGAGGTCCACACGGAGCAGCAGGAGGTCCACACGGAGCTGCAGGAGGTCCACACGGAGCAGCAGGAGGTCCACACGGAGCAGCAGGAGGTCCACACGGAGCAGCAGGAGGTCCACACGGAGCTGCAGGAGGTCCACACGGAGCTGCCCCGAGGTGAGCAGCTCCTCACACAGGGACTTTGTTCACATATCATTTCATTCCCTTTTTATTATTATCACTAAAACCTGATCATGGGTCTCTCAGGACCAGAGGGCAGGACCCTGGAGAGGATCCAGCTGCATCGTGCAGCACGGCCAACACATCCCTCTGGACACAGCAGGCGTTGACTTTGAAGGACTTCTGTTTTTTTACGATCACATTTCTATTTGCACTGAATGATCTGGATTTATGAAATACACGTCTCAGAGCTCTCTAAGAATGAGGCGATGAGTCTTCAGTTTTCATCTGAGTGGCTCAGATGAAAAGATTGTGTTAAGTATTTCACAGCTCAATGTACTGATGTGGAGATGTTACAACAAGCGATCTGACCCCTGACTGCTGGCTGGATGGAAAGTAGATATTTCTAAAGAGTTATAATTTACTGATATCAAACCATTTCCACTGTTTTGTAATTTATCAACTTCTTTACTCTGTTCTCCTTCTTGTCCAGACTGATCAGCAACTACTTCCTAAACACGTGTTGCTATTGAAAAGCACGTTGGGATATTTACATGTTTTGCAATAGTATGACGAAAAAGATGAACCAACAAACCATAGTGTAGTATTTTGATAAATATTTATGAATGCACTTTGAAAAGAACAAGAGAAACTACAGCATGGTGTGTTCTTGGAAAATGTTTAATCTGTGAAAGTAAAGGAGACGCAGAAACCGTTGAAAGACTTGAATCCAGTTGATTTCACACGTGAACGCTGAAGCTCCGCTCATTACACTCTGCTGCTGGGACGGGGGTCACCAGGGGTCACCAGGGGTCACCAGGGGTCAACCAGGGGTCAACAGGGCCTCTTCTCAACTCTAAAAAGAATTCTGTATTTCCATTAAATATCGTTCCAACATTGACGTTGAATATGTTCTGCTTTATAAAAATATGAGCTGTTTCCTTGTTAGCATTGGCGGACACAACCGAACCTTAACTCAACACCTTTTGTTTCCTGGAAATCATTCTGCACAGATCCATCTCTCTCCATGCATGGCTCCTTCAGGATACCTTTGTAGATGAACCTTTAAGCCGAGGCCTGTGCTGCCAGACAGAGGCTAGAGAGGATCAGTGGATACTACAGCGCCAGGAGAAGCCACACACGTCTGTGGGTATCTTCAGATTGAAGGTACACTATTGAGAATAATGTCAGCCTTATTCTATATTTCAGGAGCTAAAGCTGCTCTCCTTGGAGCCACCAGACTCCATTGAGAGAACAAGCTATCTCCTCCCCACGGGACAGAGCTGGTCGGTCGCTGGCTAGTTTGGTTAGTTGTTGATATCATGTGACCTTGGTGGATGCAAACCAACCCATCTTAACACCGAAGCTCACACAATAAACCAAAGTATCCAGCATGCAGCAGAGACTCCTGTTCTGCAGAACCAGTGTTCTGTGAATGGAGTTTGGTGGCGGCACGGGGCAGGGAGGTAAAGCAGGGAGCCTGTGTACAAATACACACGAACTATCCCTCTAACATTCAGAGAACTGGACCCATTCCTTCAGAGACCCCATCCCAACAGAGAGCAGCTCAGGTGTTATCACATCTTTAACATGATATCAGTTCAGTGTTTGATTGGCCTCTGACGCTCGTACCCACGCAGCTCAATCCAACGCTTGACATCGAACCGTGCAGAAGCATCACACACCTCCTCTGCATCAGACGCTCATCTCTCATCTTGCAGAACATAATGTGCTTTGATCTGACAAAGGCATTTCCTGTTGTTTAGCTGGATGTATAAAACTCAGGAGACAGACAGGGGTCATGTGATCGGTACCATCGGGGTCATGTGATCAGTACCATCGGGGTCATGTGATCGGTACCATCGAGGTCATTTTATCAGTACCATCGGGGTCATGTGATCGGTACCATCGGGGTCATGTGATCGGTACCATCGGGGTCATGTGATCGTACCATCGGGGTCATGTGATCGGTACCATCGGGGTCATGTGATCAGTACCATCGGGGTCATGTGATCAGTACCATCGGGGTGCTGCTTCTTGTGCGACCTCTCAAACATCACAAACATTCCTCTGCACTCTGTTGTGAGTGTTGCTTTAATTTAACAACAGAAAGTGTGCTGTCGACATTTCATACACATTAACACGGGGCGTAGAAATGATGTTTATAGTGTTTTGTGTTTCTGGAGTTCTCCAGCTGATCCTGTGAGGGCGATGTTTGGCTCAATGAACACATCAGAAGTTTCCTGGAGCAGATTATTCGACAGACTTCATCCAAAAATCCTTTACAAAAAACTCACCCCATGGTCAGTCAGTACAGAAGAGCATCAGGGCCACACGTTTTCCTGACATCACAAATGTTGACTTTTGTCCCAAAATTCAGATTTCTTTTTTCGTGAATCGTGACATGACACATTTTTCTCCAAATGTTGACTTTTTTCTCCGAATTTTGTTTCAAGAACTTGAATTTTTTTCTCTCAAAATTCCGATTTATTTCTTCAGAATTCTGACTTTTTTCTCCGACCTAAACATTTAATTAGCTATTAGTCAGACCTCAACATCTTTTCACCTGTGGCCCTGATCCTCTCCTGTCAATACATTTCTTAATAATACTGTGAATAACATTTCAAAAATCATCATTAGATCTAGAATCATATCGCCGTTGCACAAATATTTAAAATAATCACAACTAGTCGTCCCCCCAGATGGTGCAGCCGTGTCACATGACGTCTCACCTGCATATAAACCACATATCTAGAAGCTTGGTGCACGTGTCTGACCTGGAGGTGACGGCCTCCTTGTTGGCCCTTCCACTTCCTGCGCCTCCTGCTGCTGTTCATCATTTTTGAGTATTGAGAAAAAAGTCAGAATTTTGACTTCTTTCTCAATTGTTTTTTATTTTTCACCGATTTTTGTTCCAAAATTGGGATGATCTTTTTAGTATTTTGACAAAGCACGTTTTAGATTCTTTTTTCTCTGAATTAGAATTTAGATTTTCTTAACTGTCTGACTTTTTGCTCAGACCTGAAAATGTTTTAAAGATGATCAATCCATATTAGATCCAGAATCATATCGTAGTTGCACAATTATTTAAATAATCACGTCTAGTCGTTATCCCCAGATGGTGCAGTCCTGTCGCATAACGTCTCGTCTTCCTATAAATTGGAAACACTTTTCTCCGAGCGTCTCACTTGGAGGTGACGGCCTTCTTGTTGACAATGGGCCTGCGACTTCCTGCTCCTCCTCCTGCTCCTCCTGCTCCTCCTCCTGCTCCTCCCTGCCACAGGCTGCCAGGGATGGTGAAGGCGTCCACGCTCATGCCCATGGTCTTGGAGGGGATGGCGCTGAACTGCTTCCTGTCCGAGCTGTATTTGTAGATGTGCTCCACCTGTGCTGAGCTGACGGAGCGCGGGCCGACTCCAGTCAGACGAACCAGATCCTGAGAGTCCGGGTTCAGGGTGTAAACGCCCCGAAACTGACAGCTGGAGTCCCTGAAGAGGATCAGGAAGTGGTGGGCGGGACTCTTCTCCATCTCCTGAGGGCGGAGCAACAACATCATTATACCTTTATCTGCCTTTAGTGTTTCATCTTTAATTGGTGTGCAATATGCATTTTGTTATTTCTATCACCAGACATTTCTCTGGCATTTTGTTTTCCACACACAAATATAAGACCCTAACTCCCTCCCTGTGCATAAGACATATAGATACATAACAACAGTCCCAGACTTTATTTAGCGACCCAAGTGAAGATAGTCTACCCAGAAAGCAACATGTTCCTCAAAGACTGAATAACCACTCCAGAGATCTGAGTATCAAACAGAGCGTCAGACGCAGAGACAGCTCGGTTTCTACGGAGCTACGACGTCACGTTGTTGTTTACGTCCGCGGAGACATCTTGTTTACGTCCGCGGAGACATCTTGTTTACGTCCGCGGAGACATCTTGTTTACGTCCGCGGAGACATCTTGTTTACGTCCGCGGAGACATCTTGTTTACGTCCGCGGAGACATCTTGTTTACGTCCGCGGAGACATCTTGTTTACGTCCGCGGAGACATCTTGTTTACGTCCGTGGAGACATGTTGTTTACGGGCGACATGTTGATATATCTTATAAACATGACCAGAGACACGGTACCACAGAACCCCCTGGTATTGAGTAGACATTGAAACAACTGAAGTGAAACCTCTTTAATGCACGTTGGAAATCACATGAAGGTTTAAACAGTGAGTGTTTCTCTGAGAGTAAAACGCCGTACCTCCACGATCTTGTTCTTCTGCGTCTCGTTGACCTTCCCTGCGAGGCAGCAGCGCGACAGGGCGTTGTGGATGATGAACTTGTTGGACTTGAAGCTCGGCTCTTTGAACAGTTTGGGACCTGAGACACAAACACAGGCTCCGACCTGAGTACTAACACAAGTACTTTGACAATACATATACTCAATAACAGGTATTAGTACTGCACCTGTGTACTCCGGGGCCGCTGAGGTCTCACCGTCTTTGTCTCCGTTCTGATTCACCAGTTTACTCGGAGTCACACAAACTAAGGGCGAGTCAGGACGACTGGGGGAGGACAAGCAAATCATTTCTGTTTTATATAAACGCAGAGCTAACAATCCAACTACCTTTAACCTGGGACCGTTAACATAGCATCATGCTAATGTTAGCACAGGGCATAACATGCATACATATCTATAATATATCAAATGATCAAGCAAAGGGACTTCTTTCTTAATTGCAATTTGAAAATACATCATTTAAATTCTTCATAGAAACTTCTAGAAAGAATTGTATTTACATTTAGAAAGGTGTTGTGATATGGTGACATAGCATAGCATTAGTATTAGATCATTCATCTACCATGCTATCCACTCAGGGAGACACAATGGGAATACAGGAGCTTTTGTATGAATATCAATCCATTCGATGTTAGGAGAGATATTCCACTTGAGCTCTAAAGACACTCCCATCCCTGAGGCTGTGCTGCGGTGATAGTGGAAGTAAATATGAGTAAAGTATATAAATCTCTGCAGCAGTTTACCTTGGGGCTTTCTTGGGGGGGGTTCTGTTCCCGGGCTCGTCCGTCAGGTTGAGGGAGGGGTTGGAGTGGACTTTGGTCAACTTAGCACCTGGAGAAACACACATGAGAAATGAAAACCTGGCTTAGTGGAAAACTTGATTCTGATTGGTCGCTCAATTGTTTTTGAGGACGGAGAGGCCCTAATCATCTTTTTGGGGTTTCCCCTTTCCGGAACGACATTCATAAAACGATGGTTTCAGTACCCGTGGTTCCCTTGGCCGGACTCAGAGACAGCTTGGTCTCCTCGCGGGTCATACTGCGGGGACGGGACCTGGTCTTCTTCCCGGAGGATCGGCCATGACTGCTCAGCTTCTCCTGGAGCATTTTGTCAAAGTTGTCCATGATCTTGAGCTGATGCCGCCGATCGTACTCCAGTCTCGTGAAGTTCCCCCGCCTGAAAGGTGTATCTGGAGGAGTGGGGGAGGGGGAGGTGTGGCCTGCCGGGGGGGTGGAGGAGGGTCTGAAACAAAGAGCAGTGGGGTTACTTTTACATAAGACTACTAAACACCTGAACGTTTTAAAGAACATCCATAAACATTCATCTGTTTGTATTTAGCAGATGATCTATCTAATATATCAATCCATCTATAAAGACTACGTGCACATCTCAAAACATTCTCTTGCTCTAGTTGATCTGTTTCATTTGTTCTATGTATATTCATGTTGCTCTGTTGGAGGAGGACTCCAGTTCATATCACTGTAGCTGCTGAGCTCATGATGATAAGGCCTTGAACCACCGCTCCACATTCATCTACAACGAGGACGGTGTTACCTGTTCTCCCTCTCCTGCTCGTTCTCCTGCCTCCTCTTCCTCAGCTCCTCCGCTCTCCTCTGCTGTTTCTCCAGAAGCAGAGCTCTGCGCTGGGCCATCTCCTCCTCACTGTGCACATCTCCCTGCAAGCACACAACCAGCATCATAAACACAACCAGCAACACAAACACAAACACAAACACACACACACACACAAATGATGGTAATCGCCGCATTCAGCTGTAATAGACATGTCAACGTGATGCTCTGCTCACGGATGAGCATACAAACTGTTAAGATGATGACCTTATGTGTGTACATTTTTCTTTTTTTCTTTGTGGGGGTCTGCCCCCAAAAAACAGTTTGAAGTCCTGAGAAAGTCAAATCAGACGGGGTGTAAAACTACACTGCCCACAGAAAGTAACCACTTTGATTGAACTAGGCCAGCAGGAGGGCTTTCCACTGGATCATAAAGTATAAAGAATGCATGACTGAAGGGATGGAGACCATGTGTGAAGGCAAACTAAAAGAGGAAATAACAGGTCAAGCAAATCCCCCTCTCAGATTCCACAGCAACCAGAAGAACAGAAACACTGGCTGGTGATTTGATGAATCAGCTTTGTGATGGAATACAAAATGCAGAGTGCATTTCCTTAGCTGTGGATGAGTCCACTGACAATGCTCAGTTGCTGGTGTTTGTGAGTTTTCATGATGAGGCAAAGGGGGAGTTTGTTGAAGATGTGTTGGGCCTGACGAACCTCAGTGGACACACAAGGGGGAAGACATTTATAAAGCAATAATGGGAATGCTGAATGAAAGAGGGAGCAGCTGCCTTTACTCATAACTGCTCTTAGGGTGCATTCACACCTAATAGTCCGCTCTCTGGTGCGCACCAGACCACAGTTTGTTCCATTGTTTCATTTTCTCAGAAGGTTCGGTTTGCGTTCACACGGCAAAACTCAAACGGACTATAAACTTTAAACACAAGTCATGTGCTCGGAAATGCTGTTCAACCATTGGTCAGACATTAAGGGGGTAAAAACGCAAATCCCTGCAATTTCTAGCGGAGCCTCCGCCATGGAGCATCGGCACTTTGGGCAGGTTATTCTCATGCTGCTGTTAATCTGGAGATCAACAGACGCTAGCGGCCCGCGCATATGATTATATAATCAGACAAGTAAGGAATAATGTGCAGCGACGCGGTCATTATGGGGAAAAGAACACCGACAGGCTGATCCGGAGCCCGACGCCAAGCGGAGGGATCTAGATTTTAGCGGAGGTAATAACGTCCGTTAAAAAACATTATAACGCAAGCAAACGCTCCGAGACCACCTCTTTTAGCGGACCAGAGTCCGGTTGTTTAGTTCACTTCAGAGGTATCGGACTGCGTTCACACCGACCCAAATGAACCGCACCAAGCGGCTAAACGCACTAGGGTTCGATTCAACCGGACTATACAAGGCTGGTGTGAACGCATCCTCACTCTGCCACTCTGCCACTCTGAGGGATCAAGCACAGTGATTTTTTGTTTTTGCAACCTTGTGTTAAGAATCTTGTTGCAATTGTTTAAAAGTTTGAATGACCGTAATAAACGGACCTTTGTCTTATTGAAAAAATTGTGTTTGGACTTTTAAGATTTGTATTTGAGTACCCCTGCCTTAAACCCTAGCTACATGAATTCATGCCTTCATTCCAACATCCCCTCATCGCTACATGAATTCATACCTACATCTCTTCATTTATCCCCTTCCTCCCTCCGTCCGTACATCCCTTGATACCTTTAGCCCTTCGTTCTTCCTTCATCCCTTGATCCCTTCACCCCTGCTGTAATTCAATCTTTGTTCACCTCTATGTTGTTTTGCCATCACTCACCTGAAAGAAGAATCCGATCCCTCCTCTCGGCCCGGGCTCATTCTGCTCAATACTTTCTTCCAAAGTTTCCGTCGGTTCTGCTTCAGTTTCAGCTTCCTGTTCGGGCAAACGACCACCTCCTCCTCCTCCTCCTCCTGCTGCTGCTGCCAGGTCCAGCTGCTGTTCTACGGGGTCCAGAGGTTCAGCAGCGAGTCCTCCAGCAGGTTCCACCCCAGACTCCGTGTGGTCGCTCATAGAATCAGAAGAAAACTCCTGCCCTTCATCGGTCGGCACGTCGCTGCCCCCCTCCGGCCCTCCGAGAGAGGACCGCGACGCCTCAATCACGCTGCATCTTTTCCCTGCGCCGCCTAAAGCAGCAGATAGAGACAAGGACTCGCTCTCAAACGAGCACTCGGAGGGCGCTCCGGAGCTGCTTCTACCTGTCTGTCGGTCGTGTCGAGGTAAGACCGGCAGCCCTCCCACATCCTCCATGTCTTCCAGCTCAATGCTGAACTGAGTCGGGGTCTCACTGGAGGCCGTGTCCGAGGTGTTTCCGTCGTGTTGCGGCTGCTGGACCCCCTGCAGAGAGTCTTCAGGCGTCCGAGGCCCGCCGATTCGGAAGGAAGAGGACGACTGATCCTGATACTTGCTGGGGGATACCCGCCTCAAATGGGGGAGGGTGTCCACGTTATGTGTCGGTGCCAAGGCCCGGTTGTATGTGGGAAACTTTAGTTCGGAGGGTCTTGGGTGAGGCGGATTTTGGGCACGAGGGTGGTGCTTCGGGCTGCGGTGAGACGATGAAGACTGGATCTTTGTGCGGGGAGTCGGGCAGGAGGACGACATGATAGTCTTTGGGGAGGCGGAGAGGGGAAGAAGGTGAGAGCGCCGGGACGGGGAGTCGGCAGCACCGGGATCAGGGATCACCCAGGCCTTGCTGATGCTCCTCGAAGAAGACTTGGTTGGGGTTCTCGGAGGTGTCTTTGTCGGGGTGTGAGGGGGTGTTTTGGCGGTACTTCTAGGTGTAGACTTGGACGCGGTTCTGGATGTGTTTGTGGGTCTTTGGTTGCTCATGAGTTGCTGCTGCTGTTCTGTGAGTTTCTGCATGTCCTTCTGTAGAGACTGCAGAGCTTCACTCAGTTTCTGCACCACCTCGTTGCACTCCACGAAAGCAGCTTCTCCGACCTTCTCTGGAACCTTCTTACTCTCAATGGAGAATGTGACCTGCTTCTCTAACCGAGGAGGGTTGGATGCAGACGGCTTCTCTTTCTCCTTCTCTTCCCTCTCCTCATCCTGTTTCAGTTGCGCCTCCATACAAGTGAGGCTTTCCTCCAGGGTGAGACTAGCCTCCTCGGCTCCCGCCCCTCCCCCCTCTCCTTGCTCTCTTTTCAGTTGCAAAAAGGCAGTTTTCCCGAGCCTCTGTCTGTGCTTGGCAAAGATGGCTTCGATGCGTCTTTTTTGAGCTTCGATGCTTTTGCGTTTTTCCTCCAGACGAGCGCCTAACTCCCAGGCCTCAGAGCCCGGTTCAGGGCCTCTGGAGCCGGGGCTGTCCTGGTGTCCCGGTGCCCCTGCTGGGGTGGAGGGTGTGTTTGGAGTCCCTGGTGTTGTTGGAGCAGAGGCTGACTCCTCTCCAGCAGCAGCAGGCTGTCTTCTTCTGTGATCCCGGCGCTCTGCAAAGCTTGTCATGTGTGGACTGTTGCTGCTGTTTCCCTGCCGTCCGCCGCCTGGTCGCATGTTCCCCGGGGCGTTTCTGGGCGTGTCATCCGACGCTTCAGAGGAGTCAACGCTGCCATCTCGCAGAACAGAGTCGTCATCACGGGACATATCGGAGCTCCGTCCTGACCTCTCCTTCCTCTCTCCTCTTCCTTGCCTTTCATTGCCTCCCGCTTCCCCACCAACCGGCCGATGGAGGACTCCGGAGCGACAGGGAGCGGAGCTGCTGAGCTGATCCTCCTCGGGGGAGTGCAGGAAGAAACCAGCCGGGGCTCCTTCAGGACGTAACCTTGGCTCAGGTCTCGATCCCAACACTCCTTTTCCACTTTTCTCTGGTGTCCTTCCCTTCTTGGGGGTCTGCACCACCTGCAGGGCCTCCTCGATGGTGGGCAGTTCTCCCAGGGGCGTTGTGTGGGCGTAAGGGCCCCAGGACGAGCGCTGCGATGGGGCTGAAGCGCTGACCAGGTGGCTCAGTTCCTCTGGAGGACCGTACGGGACACAAGGCTTCCCCGGCACAGAGGTGGTCATCGCTGGGATGCCGGTGGAGAGGCTGTCGTTGCTGACAGAGCGAAAGACAGCATCTATGGGGTTTCCCATCACAATGTCTACATCACTGTCCAGCCCGAATGGGATGCTGAACGTCACGGCGGACAGAGGACGACTGCAAGGACGAACGGATGGGTTGTGAAAACAAGAAAGGCAGAGACAATGAAAGTCAAAGTAAGAATTAAAGAAATTAAGATAAAATATGAATGTACAACATGTACTGTACAAACTGCATGGAGATCTAAAGTAGGGCTGGGCGATATATTAATACCGTATTAAGGTAGTTAGATATGAGACTAGATTTGGTCTTACATATTGGATTTCTTAACATCGCATTCATGTCAGTTTCTGATCTTTTATTGCAAATGTTTATGTTTCTATGAATAAGTATTTATTTTATACTTATATGGTGCAACTGTCACTAAACCTTACCCCCCGCTGGGATAAATAAAGTATTTTGATGGAGTGATTGGTTGATTTATTGATTGATTGGTAGATTGATTTATTGATTGAGTGATTGATTGATTGGTTGATTGATTTATTGGTTGGTTGATTGATTGGTTGGTTGGTTGAATGATTGGTTGGTTGATCGAATGATTGATTGGTTGATTGATTGTCTTCCTATGTTTCTACCAATAATTAGCTTTCACTCCCTTCATCATTAAACTACGGATAATCCAAATAATAATAATTTCATCCCAATTTTGAGGTACTTGATCAGAATTATTGTGATATTTGATTTTTTTCTCCATATCGCCCAGCCTTACTTTGAAGAATAACTACCTGATTTGTTTCTTTGTCCAACTTTTATTTTCTGGAAAGACACAAGAAGAAAAGATCTCAAGTTAAAAAAGTCTATTAAAGAATGTGTTGCTTACATTAATGATAGAGATTAACTAAGAACATTGTCCGAGGTCTTGAGAACTTCTACTCCACTACTAGGTATTTATTACCTGGTGACACTGGGGAGCTGATGGGTACAAAGGGTTGTTTGAAGATGAAGGCAGGAGAACCACTGAAACAGAGAAACACAGTAAAGTTATGTTTATTTACAACTCTCCACAAGAGACCGCTGGTCTGGAGGTCAATGGTTGTCTGAATGTGTTTTTGGTCCAACACTGAAACACGTCATCACTTTATTCCAGAGAGTCTGTAACCTTTGCGGCAGATTTCCATCAGACTGTATGCTGTCTCTTTAATTCAATTCAGTTTGAAGCCACCCATAGTTTATAAAATAATTCAAACGAGACACTGAACCTGAAACTAGTTCCCCTTCATTTCTCAAGTTCTTTAGATTTGTATTTGGTTTCGGCTAAATGAATACTGCAGTAGTAAAGGTCAGGATTGATTTAGGATCTCCATCCCATCAGAGAGCGCTCCTGCCTGGTTTAGGGTGTGTTGGGGGGATGGTCTACCTGTTTCTGTTCCCGCCCATAGGACTGGTGCAGTCCAGTAACCCCGAGACATCTGAAAGACAGAAACTGCAGTTTTAGGGACGGTGATATTTATGGTTGGAGAAATAGAAGTGTTTTAGCGCCACACAGACCTGTGAGGTCGATGGGTGTCACCGGCTGCACAAACTCAGGCTTCTTCACCTCGAACCAGTCGAGCAGCTCAGCTATGAAGCTCATGATGTTCAGCTGAGGAACAGGAGACACCAGGTGGAGGTGTTACAAAGGACACACACAAAAACACATGACTGTGGGCTCGTTACAAAGAGAGTCGCAAAAAGATTAGATAAGATTTCAAACGAGTTGCTACGGATACGCAATAAAAAAACATGGTGACACGTCAACAGTTTTGCATTCCTTCCTTTCATATTGCTTCCCACACACTGTACTAATGCATCTGCTGTATAAAAGTATATCAGGTTACAGTATATTAAACAGTATATTAATATCAGTTTGCCGTATATTAAAGGTCACCTAATCTAAATTCACTTCTTCATGTGTCTTCCACATCAACATGTGTCCCCTCTGTGTTCAGAGACTCTTTCAGGAACAAAGACCCTCTCTTCTTGTCCTGATCCATCTGTATAAAAACCTGTCTGAAAATCAGCAGATCAGAATTTGGTCTTTTTGTGATGTCATTATGTTTTTTTGGGTTGTGTAACCATTAGCCAATCACCAACCAAGGTAACCCCCCCCCCCACCTTATCACCTGAATCTCCTCCGAGAGCAGTGGTTCCCAAACGGGGGTACGGGGACCCCTAGGGGTATTTGAGAGGCTTGCGTAGAAAGATTAGGGATTGCAATATATTTTCACACAGGACCTTTTTTCAAATCAATTTTCATAAGCCTGGTGTCCCGCCCCCAGAACTATCAAAGCTCATGAAAGACAAGCGTGTCATTAAAAGCTCTAGTCTTAACAAAAGTTGTTGAAACTGCTAGAAGTGAGTCTTAATATAATTATTTTCACTGACAATAAGTATCAATGTCAAGTTTAAATGTGTTTGTATTAAGGGTGAGTTATGCAAGTGATTTTCATCTAAGGAGCAGTTGGGTTGAACATTATTACAAGGGGTTTAAATACAAGAAAGATAGTTGGCACATCCTCACAGATGAGTGAGGGGGTTCTTATAGAATGGAGACCAGCTCAAGGGGTACACGAGACAAAAAAGGTTGGTAACCGCTGTCCTAGAGCACCATTGTGTTTTTTGAAACCAATCATCTCTCAGAGGGGCGTGGCCAGCAGCAGCTCATTAGCATTTAAAGCTACAGACACAGAATCAGCACTTTTTGAACAGGGCTGAAACAGAGAGGATTATGGGTAATGCTGCAATGATCTGTTTGGTGTTTCAGCCAATCAGAGAGGCTCTGGATATATCTGAGCCCTGTGATATATTGATGAGAAACAGTATAATAGGGACCTTTAAATAAAAAC